CTCAGGAAGTTCATTCCACATAGGAACCACCCTCTGTGTAAAAAATTTGCCCCTCATGTCTTTCTTAAATCTCTTTCCTGTCTTGTATGGATTGTTCATTTTAAAATTTTTACTGTAACCAACGACTAAAAGCACTGTTTTCTTTGTACAGACAACATATATTTTAAATAACAATGATGAACATTCCTTTTTTATACTTACCACACAATCTCCATTGAATTACAGTCCTTTTAGCAGAAGGTCAATCATTGTTCCTAACTTTGAATGGGAGACTGTCTCCAGGTGCTTTCCTCAGTTTCATAGCATTTTTCTCTCTTACTACATGGAACCTCTGCAGTCTCTGTTATTTGTTTAATTTATTTTAGAGATGCCTGCAACCTGATCTCAAAATGGCTTCCTCTACCCATTTCCACGTGGCAACATGAAACACTTTATGCAATGCTTTTTCATCTTGAAAGTAACTGGATAGTTTATATCACAACTGTTTACAATCTGATAGCTACAATTTGAGACTCTGTCTACTTATTGCAAACTCAGTGACTGCTGCCTTTGTTTCCAGGTGCAAATAACTTGTTCCTTCTTAGTAAAGCAATCTCAGCTTTCCTTTGATCTCTAATAGTCAAACCTTGCAGACTTAACGTCAGAAAAACTTCAGAACAGGTCTTATGACTCCCTTCATTCACCGTCAATTTAAATTTGATAAATTTATAAACTTCACAATTGTAACAATATTTTGATTGAATTAATAAATCTATCACTTTTGCTACTTCTGTTCTACACTTCAGCTGTATGGTATTGGTTAAACATGTTTGATTCCAAAAAGGCAACCACATTTCTTGTAATGACTTCCACTTCTGACTGGCATGGCTATCGCTGTCTACTTTAATCAGTTGAATATTCATCCTCCAATGCATTTTAAGCTATGCACTTGAGGATAGAAATGAATTTTGTTCACCAACGTTAAATTGTATTTTTAATCTTCTCCAGCCTAATACACTAACTCGACACCCTCTGTTCTTCTGAATTAGATTCGTTAGGTATTCCCTCCTCAATTTCTTCATCAACACCAAAGTTTTCAGTGGCCATACCCGACGTTCCAGAACTCACTGACTATACATCTTTATCACAAAAAACAGAAATTGCTGGAGAAACTCATCAGGTTTGGCAGCATCTGTGTGGAGAAAACAGAGTTAACATTTCAAGTCCAGTGGCCCTTCTTCAGAATACACAACATGTTAACTCTGTTTTTTCTCCACACATGTTGCCAGAACTGCTGCGTTTCTCCAGCAATATCTATCTTTGTTCAGATTTCCAGCTTCCAGAGTTCTTTGTTTTTATTTTAGTCAGAAATTCTTTATGACTGGTTAAGAGGCCATGTTCAATTATACAGAACAAATTGTTCACAGTCATGAACAGACATCCTTTGGAATGTCGTGCCCTTTAGTTGATTCTCCCTCCTGCTGATGAATGCCCCCAACAAGCCAATATTTTGTAATGCTCAACAGCAGATTATTTATAAGAGGACCCACTCTCTCACTCGTGGAAAACCCTGAAGGTGAAACTGAACTTGGGTGAGGAGAAAAAAATTGTTGGCACCATATTTTCCACGAGTTACTTACCCTCTACAATGTTTGTTTTCATTAAAACAAATGGAACTGGATAGCAAACCACATGCATAACTGGCAGGAAAAGCCATACTGTTGATTTTGTGATTCATCCAAGCTAAATTTCACCCGCCTTACAATCTTTTCACAAAACATCAAGCATTTTTTTGATATTTCTACTTTCCTTTAAATGCAAAGTGAATGTTGATAAATAGCGTCTATCTAAGGAAAAAAAATGTTTAGTTGCCTGGACTTGGCTGTTTTTGTACAATGAATTGTTAAGGGATATTGGAGTCTATTTATCACTTTGTACAGAGCGTACAAAGAAAAATTTTTCTCCACCTTCATTGTTAGAAGTGTCTTGACCGAGACAGGACAAAGTTACAGATGGTGTCAAGTATTACGTGCAAGATTCTGGATGGAAATTTTGGGAAAAGCTAAACTATGAAGATTGTCAGAAACTCCTGCATCTACATGTCTGCCTTTAGGATATAGCTGTACGATTAACATGGAAAATTAATCCAATTTTTTTTAATCTAAACAGACTGGTTTCATAATGCAGATACATTGCTATGTTTAACATTGTTAGTAAGCTTGGGAATGTCCAGATCATCACTGCTTGCTAGACAACAGTGCTCCTTTAAATATACAGGACATTAACAGTGAGGGAGCAGAGTCATTAATTTCTGGCATTAATGTAACTGAAATTTCTTTCAACAACAACTTGCATTTATATAGCATCTTTAACATAGTAAACTGCCCCAAGGCATTTCACAGACATATCAACAACGCAAAATATTGCCGCTTTTGGAAAAGTGAAATAAAAACAGAAACGGTTGGAAATCCTCACCAGGTTTAGCAAAACATGTGGAGAAACAGAGTTAATGTTTCAGGTGAATTAACTGGAGACTGCAAGGCCTGGTGAATATTTCCAGCATTTTATGTTTTTATTTCTGTTAGCCAGAGGCTGCAGAGAGAGAAAGAGAGGATACCAGCTCACAACATGTTGCTGAGAATGCTAAGTGTGAAACTGCTGACAAACACAAAAACAGCTTGTGAACTGAGAATAGCCTAGGTCTGGGAGCTGGCCTGAGCCAGTCGGAACCACTTGGTACCAACCAAGTTCTTCAAAAAGTAAGAAAGATGAGGTAATGCAAAAGCCTTATTTAGACAAGAAGCAATGAGGTAATACTAGCTAAGTGTCTGGGCCAGGGCCAATAAGGTAAAGGCATGCAATAAGTGAACCAGCTTGAGCCAACGGAAAGAAGATAGCATGACTTGAGAGAGATAAGAGAAAGAATAAAAAGAAGACCCTCAGGGCATACAGCCATCAAAAACTCCAGGAACCAACCATCGCAGAAGCAGACCCTATGTCAAGGACATGTTGACGACATTGAGTGCAGCGCCTGGCCAGCGTCAGCCCTCGTCAGCAGCAGCAGGTATCCTGATCGGGTATTAGCTTTTATATTCTGTGACTACTTGGGGAGTGTCAGAGGACACTAGTGGGTGTATAAGTAGGTCCTAGTTCAGTTTGTGGGAAAACATATAAGGTCTAGTTCTGTGATAAAAACATTTAAGCAACACATGTCTTGTTTAATACAATAGTCAAGTAATTTGTGAGGTTACAAGAAACGACTCTTCTGCTCTCTGTACAAGCCGATAACCAGAACTGATGTTCTCTGATGTTGCTGCCGACAACAATTTCGTTATCAAGCAAAATTTGACACTTGAGCCACCTAAGGAGATATTGGAGCTGATGACCAAAAGTTTGGTCAAATATGTAGATTACAAGTATCATTTTAAAGGAGGCATACATATCATGAAGGCAGTTCCAGAGGCTAAGTCCTTATTCATCGGAAAGCACAACTACCAATGAATTAAAATAAGGGATAGTAGCTTGGCCAAAATTGGAGAAGTGAAAATATCTCAGAGGGTTTTTGGGACTAGAGGTCATTGGAGAGATAATGGATCTGGAGAAAATGGGAAAAAGGCTGAAATGTTTTTTTTAAATCTCAAGGTGTTGCTTAAGCGGGAGCCAGTGTAATTCATCCAGCAGAGCAGTGAGAGAGACTTGGTAGGAGTTAAGACACAGTTAACAGAGTTTTGATGACCTCAAGTGTATGAAGTGTAGAATTTTGTAGGCTGACCAGCAATGCATTAAAATGGTCAAATTCTAGAGATAGTAAAGACATGGATGAGGGTTTCACAACAGATATGCCGATACAGTTGTGGAGTTGGGAAATGTTACAATGGTAGAAGGTGGGTAGTTTTAGTGATCGTGTGGTTGTGTTTGGAAGTTCACCAAAGCTTCTAGCTATCGATCTATTGCTGGGTTATAATTGTAGCTATCCACCCATATCTTCCCCTCATCCATTGTGTTCATGCACGAGTTTTACCAGTATATGTCAACAAATTATTCAACTTCTTCTGCATCACAATGACCTCAGTCTTGAATAGGATCCCTAACAAATTTAATATTCTCAACAGCCAAGGTTAGCTACTCATCCCCACTCTAGCCCAATTAACATCAGATATCTCAAAACAAATCAAATTAACAAACCTGGAATTTCCATGATCTACGTGAAGCAAGCAACTTATTGGACAATATTTAACAAACTATTGAAGGAGAAGCATTTAGAATTTCTGAAATCAACTGTTCCATATTCTACTTGTCCCTTTCTGAATCTTCAGTCCCTCAGCCACAACCATACCTCTCCCACACATGTAGCTCTTTAAACTTTAAGCAGACAGGCTTTATTGAAAGAATTTCAAATGCAAACTGACACAGATAAAGGATACCACAGCCCTGTACAGGCGCACATCCCAAAAGCCTAGAGCCACCGGAACAAAACAGAAGGATCACTCAATATTCACAGAACATGGTCCCAAACTCTCCATCCCAGGGAATTGTGATCAACTGCTTAAAATCATATTTTAACCACTTGCTTGAGAGTGAAAACCAAGCAGAAATACATTACACAACTTCAAAAGAATCAATCAAGTTTTGTTTTTGGTTTAACTATCTCCTTAGAGAATTTAATGTGAAGGGACTTCCAGCACACAGTTCATGCAAAATAATGGCCAACAGTTTAATATTCTTCTTGCAGCTGAATTGATTATGCAAACTCTAAACACCAACAGACTGTGATGATTGAATATCACCTCACAAATCATAGAATCATAGGATGTCTACAGTGTGGAAGCAGGCCATTTGGCTAATTGAGTCCACGCTATCCCTCCAAAGAGCATCCCACCCCTTTAACTATCCTTGTAACCCTGCATTTCCCATGGTTAATCTACCCAGCCTGCACATCTCTGGGCACTAAGGGCAATTTAGCATTGTCAATCTACCTAAGTTGCACATTTTGGACTGTGGGAGGAAACTGGAGCACCTGGAGGAAACCCACGCAGACACGGGGAGAATGTGCAAACTCCAGACAGACAGTCGCCCAAGGCTAGAATTGAACTAGGTCCTTGGTGCTATGAGGCATCAGTGCAAATAGCAGTATCATGTTCCCAAATTATCCAAATATCCACACACAACAGCTTAATTTTTCACAAGATTTTTCACCAAATAAACATCCAGTTTTGGTTTGAGAATCAAAGAAGTTGTCCAGAGATTTCAAAGAGGTAACCATTTCTCTCTAGTTCCCCCATACCCATAAAACAAAAAAAAAAATCACATTTGCTATTTTTAACCCTTTCAGTGCTACTTAAGAAACTCACAGAACAATTTTCTATGTGAGGACTTAGGCAGTATCTAAAATAAAAATCACAAGGGGATACTTTTATCATTCTCCCCCCAGGTGATGTCATGTTAGCATTTGAACACCCAGTGTGAAACTTATCTTTCTCTTCATCCCATTTAAACAATTTGGATGGAAATTCAGCTGTTTCTATAATGGAGATGACAGAGGACTGCTTTGCAACACCCACCACAAATTACTAAAGACTAAAATTACCTTCCCCTTTCAGATGAGGAACAAATCAGGCTGGAAATCTCTACCCTGAGGAAAATAAAGCTATTCATCAGAAATTGAAATTAGTCAGAAAAAGTCAATGAAACATATTATAAGGCTCTCAGCTATGACATACCTTCCTTAAAATTATGCACGTGAAGCATAGTGCAAGATAGATGAATGTGTTCACATTGAAGAGTTCTGCTTAATGAAGAGAGGATCAAGCCTACATTTAAGTAGTGGAATAAGGAATTAACTATGAAGGGGACTTAGATGGGGACTCAGATGCATGACTCCATATTTTCAAGGCTTACTTTAGTCATACTTCACCCGTAATATGTGATCTCAGTTAGAACATTTGGACTGATTCCCGATCCTGCACTCCCAGTACAGAATCCTGCTTGCACAGAACACCAATGGTAGAATCAAGGCTATCAGTGTTGTAGCTAGTCTGTAAACCACATTTCATTTGAGAGTAGGCTCCCTGTTCCAAATCCAGAATTAAAAATTCTCTGCTGACAGAATGCATCTCTGATTAAATTTCATATGATTATGTTTCCAGGACAATCATTAAGGCAGATTCCTCAAACAATACATGCAATAAAGAGGATCTCTTCTTAATTGTAATCTAGTAACTAAGGGTGAAAGTTCACTATATTTTAAGTATCTGATTGTGGACTTTATTTCAGTAATATCTCATGAGCCATTCCTTTGGCTTTAATTCACAAAATACCTTGTTGTTTGGCTTCAGTTAAATCAGCAAAGAAGAGAAAAAAAAAAGTCACTTGACTGGCCCATGAATCAGAAATAAGTAAAATCCCATGAATTCATGTGTAAGAAGCAGGGATCCTAGTCATCTTTGCTCTAATGAAATGCATTAAATCATCCATTGTTGCCTGTGAAGCTAAGTGTATAGAATCCTATGCCCCAGTTATTACTCCTGTACATTACAGGTTCCAGTGAAACTGTGTCACAAACCTTTCAAAATATATTATAGACCTACAGCAACCAAAAGATCCCTCAACTACATTTGAATTTTAAAATATTCACTAAAGTTCCATTCAAACCAGGCCTCAGAATTTTATCATGTCCTTACCTAAATATATTTGGCACCAACGTAATATAAATCATTCATAATCTAATTAGATGAATGAAAAACATTCCTGTCAAAACACAAAAGTATTGTACAGGCGTATAAGACAACTAATTAATTAAAACTACAGGGCATCAGATGGGAGTTGAATCATATATTATACTGATTGTGGCAGTGGAATGAACCTGCTCGTACAGTATGTGGAAAGGAGATGATGTAGTTAGTGGAAGCACATGCTATTAATGGCTCTATCTTCCAGTTATGGATGGGCTTCTCTTCCTCAGTTTCAGTCCTGGTGTAAAATTTCCCTCCAGCTAAAACTGTGATTGGGACCATGTGTGAGTGGTAGTATGGGAGGATCTACCAGTTGCCATATACCCGCATCTTCTAACTCTTCACAGGCGCAGAAACCCAAATACGGGATCTGTGGGAAGGAAACAAAACACAAAATCATAAAATGATGCAGCACATGAAGAGGCCATTCAGCCCATCAAATCTGTACTGGCTCTTCAAAAGAGCTACTCAATTCCACTTCCCTAAGAATTATTTGACCCAAAAAGTCTGTAATCTGAATCCCACCTTCATTTCACATTCCTGCTCCAGAAACACATCTTTTAAACCCAATTCTACAGTGATTGGATGCATTTCCCCGATTGCTTACAATTCTATAAAAATAAAATGACATTTGCACTTTGGGTGAAAAGCTTCTAGCTGACATCTTATTTCTACAATGTGATTCACTCTTAACTATCCTCTGAAATTCCTAGAGTTCAAGGACAACTAGGAATGGGCAATAAATGCTGCCTTGCCAGAGATACACATATTCCATGCAAGAATAAAAAATACGTTTTGTTAGTAGTATCAAACAACACGTAGGGAATACATTCTGTCTGTTATGCCTGTGCCAATTATTTTAAAGAGCTACTCATTCCTGTTCTCTCTCCTCAAAACATCGCAAATTTTTTTTCAAACATATATTGTGCCCAATTCTTGCTCGCCGAGCCAGTGTGTTTGATTGCAGGCTCTTCACCACCCTGCTAGGTAACATCATCACTGTGCCTCCGGTGAAGCGTTGGTGTTCTGTCCCACTTGTTATTTATATGCCTCAGTTTGCTCGGGTGGTTGGCATCACTTCCGGTTCTGTTTTTCAATGGCTTATAAATCAGGTCCAGTTCAATGTGTTTGTTGATGGAGTTCTGATTGGAATGCCAGGCCTCCAGGAATTTCCTGGCATGTCTCTGTTTGGCTTGTGCTATTATGGATATGTTGTCCCAGTCGAATTTGTGCCCTTCTTTGTCTGTGCATATTGAGACCAGTGAGGACTGCCTGTGTCTCTTGGTGGCTAGTTGGTGTTCGTGTATCCTTATTGTCAGGTTTCTTCTAGTTTGGCCTATATAATGTTTCTCACAGTCATCGCATGGTATTTTGTATATTATATTAGTTTTATTAGTTGCGGGTATGTGATCCTTTACATTCTTAAGTAGCTGTCACAGGGTGGTTGTTGGTTTGTGGGCTACCCTGATACCTAGGGGTCTAAGTAGTCTTGTGGTCATCTCTGATATGTCTCTGATGTACTGTAGGGTGACTAATGTATCTAGCCATGTTGTGTCTTCTTGTTGTGGTCTATCGCGGAGGTAACGCTGGATTGTGCTTTCTATCCATTCCTTATAAAAACTCATTATCTCGTTCTCTACTATTCTGGTGTCTTTGATGATATTGAAAAATTCTTGGGAGGAGTGGGTAGTGTTGTCTACTAAGAATTTAAGTTTCTGTTGTAGTTCTTTGGCAAGTCTGCATGTTGGCATACCTGGTAGTGAGACAACATGTCTAAGAGGGACCCCTAGCTTGTGTACCTTAGGGAGTCCACAGAAGAGGGGTGTTGTTGGAGCCCTCTGGCTTCATCTTCTGGCAGTCTGTCTTGCTGATAACTCCTTCAGGGTTGTAATCCTAATTGTAATCCCTAATTATGGTGTCAGGTCTATCGCCATCTGTTGGTAGGTGTCGGTATCTGCTCATAGTGTGATGTATAAAACATAAACCACCTATCAACAATCCACTGGCACAAAGAACAGCTGCACAGAATGGCCACAGACTGCAAAGGGTTATGAAGAATTATGCCCACAACCACCTCCACAAATATGAACGGGAAATTGCACGCCAAAAAACTTTGCACTCCAGTGCAACCGACCAAGAATAGACAGCCACACTGGAACAAGACATCACCATACAACAACAAAGGACCAAAACAAAGAAAAGATTTGCCCTACAAGAAAAACTATCCATACTCACCCACAACAATGACACGGACAATACAGAAACATGGATTAAGAACATCTCAGACTGACCACTTATAGACACTGAGAAGACCATCCTAGTACGCAGACTGAATTATAACTTCAGAGACACCAAAAAACTGACTTCCTGGCTACACTGGAATCGACACTAAAGAACAACGGACTCACAGAGAAAATACAACAGGCCATGAGACAGGCGATAATCCCAACATTTAGCAGAAAAGGTAAGAGAAGAGAAGAAAGCCCTGGAAAGACTCAAGAAAGACAAAAACATCATAATCTTACCAGCAGACAAAGGATGCATGACAATAATCCTTAGTAGAGCCCAATACATCGAAAAAGCTAACGCACTACTAGCAGATACTGACGCCTAACAACAGATGGCAATAGACCCAACAGCACAGTTAGAGAACCAGAAGAAATTACACAACTCAGGAGATATCAGCAAGACAAACTACCAGAAAATGAAGCCAGAGGGTCCCAACGACACCCGCTTCTATGGACTCCCTAAGGTACACAAGCCATGGGTCCCCCTTAGACCTATTGTCTCACTACCAGGTACACCAACATATAGACTAGCCAAAGCACTATAACAGAAACTGAAATACTTAGTAGACAACACTACCCACTCCGTCCACTCCTCCCAAGAATTCCTCAACATCGTCAAGGACACCAGAATAGAAGAGGACGAGATAATGATATCCCTCAATGTAACAGCACTACTTACATCCATAAACATCAACCTAGCCAAAGAGACAATTGCCACACTGCTGGATGAATCAGGAAGGCAGACACCCCACAACACCGACAGCATCAACAAGGACAGCACCCTAAAACTGCTGGATCTGCGCCTCCAGACTAGCATATACAGAAAGACCACCCATATGGACCAGATACTTAACTACACCAGCAACCATCCCAACACCCATAAACAGAGCTGCATCAGGACATTATTCAAATGAGCCACAACACACTGCAGCAACCCAGAATTGCACAAAGCAGAAAAGGAACACTTATACAGAGTTTTTAAAAGGAATGGATACCCAGAAAGCACAATTCGCTGTTACTTCCGTGACAGACCACAACAAGAAGACACAACATGGCTAGACACATTAGTCACCCTACCGTACATCAGAGACATATCAGAGATGATCTCAAGACTACTTAGATGCCTAGGTATCAGGGTAGCCCACAAACCAACAACCACCCTGTGACAGCTACTGACGAACGAACCCACAACCAATAAAACTAACATAATATACAAAATACCATGCCTTGACTGTGAGAAACATTACACAGGCCAAACTGGAAGAAACCTGACAATAAGGATACATGAACACCAGCTCGCCGCCAAGAGACACGACCAATTCTCACCGGTCTCAATACACACAGACAAAGAAGGACACGAATTCAACTAGGACAACACATACATAATAGCACGAGCCAACCAGAGACATGCCAGGAATTCCTGGAGACCTGGCATTCCAACCAGAACTCCATCAATAAACACATTGAACTGGACCCAATATACAAATCACTGAAAAACAGACTGAAGTAATACCAACCATCCCAGCAAACTGAGGCATATAAATAATAAGCGGGACAGAACACCAACGCTTCACTGGGGGCTCACCGACAATGTTACCTAACAGTGTGATGGAACATCTGCAGTCCAACGCATCGGCTTGGCAAGGAAGTCTACAACCTCATCCACAACCCGAGCTACAAATCTTCTTAAAAGCTTTGTGCCCAATTCACCTGTGGAAGTTGCTATTGAATCCACTCTCATCAGCCTTTCAGGCATGAAATGCCAGTTCTTGACCAGTTGTAACAATTTTTTAAAAATCTCTTTTGCTTCTCTATAATTCTACATCCAATGCAAAATTTCACCAAATAGTTTGTCATCGTCTCTTCTCATTGTTCATTCACACTTGCATCAATTCACATTACACAAATTAATATAAAATTGTACTAAATTAGCTGGAATATAAATTACAACAGAAAACTTAATGCTGGGAAATCAGCTGTGATTTATGAACTTCCTTTTGATTATTTGTAAGACAAGTTAAGGTACAGCACTACGGTCTCATAGCACCAGGGACCTTGGTTTGATCTCACCCCTTGTTGACTGTTTGTGTGGAGTTTGCACATTTTCCCATGTCGGCACGGATTTTGTCTGAGTGTTCCGGTTTCCTCCCATAGTCCAAAAATATGCAGGTTATACGGATTTGCCATGGTAAATTGCCCATGGTGTTCAGGGATGTGCAAGTTAGGTGGATCAGCCATGGGAAATGCAGGGCTATGGGGATGGGGTAGGTCTGGGTGGAATGCTCTTTGGTGGGTTGGTGCAGACTCAATGGGTTGAATGGCCTGCTTCTGCACTGTAGGGATTTTATGAGTCTGTGAACTGATTAGGAAAGGCCCAATCATGTTTCCCCTTCTGAGAACTCTATTACTATAGTCAACTGTGATTTCAAACTGTTCCTTCCCCCTTTGCAAAAACTGCCTCTATTACCCTACTGAATGATTACTATGCCAGATAATTCCAGTTACCACTTTGTACGGAAGCCGTACACTTTGAAATTTCCTTTCTTCTCATGTAATCAGTATTAAGTCTGCCTTTCTGCTGCCCAGAGACCCCTTTGAACTCATGAAATGGCTTCAGTGTTCCCATTTGTCAGTCACTCCTTCAACATTTACCTAAGTGTAGGTGGGTTGCCTCCAGGCCCAATGCTTTTAACCTGTTCAGAGTTGGCCAGCTGCCCCTTTCCAGCTGTCCTATTCGGCCAGTGAAGCCAAAACAAGTCATGGCAGTTGAAACAAGCAAAGCCTTAGACAGAAAATATCTGATATTCCTCCTGCCTCCTCCCCTTCCATCCCCAACGCTGCTACCCAACTTCACCCAATGAATACTCACTCCTAGTTAACATTAACACCCCTCACCACCTCCACATAGGCATGCTTAGGAACAAAGATTCAGAACATACAAGAACCATATCTGTTAATGCAATGTTGAGATTTTCTATGTGTCAGGCACCTAGCTGAGCAAAGAAGTATAAGATGTGAAAATAATTACTTCCTTTGCTTCGTTGCAGGAGGTCTGACCTGACCTGACCGTTGCAGAGATTAATTGAAATTTAAAAGAAGTAAGTCCTGAAAGCAGAGTATTGCTCTGTTTCAAAGTTTCAATTTTCAACAACGTGCGTGACTGTGGGTGAAAAACAGTCACTTCACTTCTAACTGTTTTCAGAGCCATCAAATGATTGGGAACAAATTAGGACCAAGACAATGACAAAAACTTTCACTGTCATAAACTGGTTAGGATTTGGAATGTGGTACCCGAGAGTATAGTGGAGTGAAGTTCAGTTGAGGCATTTAAGGGGACATTGGATCATTATCTACAAAGGAAGAATGTGCAGGGTTATGGGGAGATTATTGGAAGTGGCTTTAGGTAAATTGCTTCTTCAGAGAGCTAGCACACATACGGCAGACACAATGGCCTCTGTCTATTTTTAACCATTCTACGGCCACAGTTGAAAATATATTTCCCATTCCCACACCACAGAATACACAACACACTGACCTTTCGAACGACTTGAACAAAGTCCTTGGAATTGCGTGCAGAAAGACCCTGGAGCTGCCGAGTGCAAGCCTCAAGAGAGGAGGCATGAGCTACAATCAGGACACAGTTACCTGAAAGACAAACGCAAGGCAACAATCATTTCAGTTCAGAATTCAGCATGAGGAAGATAACTTGCATTCTTCCACTGTGGTGCCTTTTACAACCTTAGATGTCCCAAGTTGTTTTACAATAGATAAAGTGCTTTTAAAGTGTGACTGTTGTTGTAATGCAAGAAGCATGGCAGCCATTTATACACAGCAACCCCCCACAAACAGCAATGTTATAATGAGTAGATATCCTTATCAAATGGGTTCAAATGAAAAAGGACTTCCTGGTAGAAAAGCTTCCTTAGAGAAGCCAAAGCAAGTCAAGAGCACAAAAAAAATCATCTCATAATGATTTAAGAAATAGGAGCACAGAACTAGATTAGAGAGGGTATGTGGTGGAATCAGAAAGGGTATCTAAGTGCATTTGGACAAGATGGGCCAAATGGCCCCATTCCTTGCTGTATCATTTCTATGGTTCCAAGATACCCCTTGAGCCTGTTCCATCATTCAATCAGCATTCAATATTTTCTAATCAGCCTATTCAAAGATGTCATGACACACTTCTGCAGTAGATGGGACTTGAACCCAGGCATCCTGGCTCAGAGGTAGGGGCACTGCCACTGCACTGCAAAAGCCCTAATCAGCATTATCAGTATTAGCATTAAGTATGACACTTGGCAGTTGATTTTCAAACAAGATCTCACACATAGCACTATAAGGACCAGTCAAATCTTGCAGTTACCTTTGACTTTACATTCTGCCAGGATATCTCTCATCACCTGGCAACTCCTGCTAATGTAAGTCTCGTATGATTCTGAAATCCCCAGTTTGCTCGCAGGAAAATGTGGCCTGCAATGCACAAAAACACAATTATAATATACCCAATGACTGCACATCCAAAGCTCTTGCGGGGAAATAAGTTTAAATATTAACAAGACATTTCTCCTCATCTCAATCTTCCCCGACAGTCACATGGAATCCAAATGTGGTTAGACACAATACAAACCATAGATTGGAAACTTTAACCTCAAGTATCTCCCACTGATAGTGGTTCAGACTCTAAGTGTCCTGGCATGTAAACATAAACCAAATAACCTCCTCCTGTGCTGTGTCATTCTCTGGTTTTTCGACATACCCACATAGTTCTCAAAGGGCTTAAGTACTTCCCATAAAATGATACATGAGCAAATAATTTGACCCATTCAAAGGGGAAGTGTCTCATTTAAACATTAGTGTTTGGTGAGCACTTCCGGTGCCAATTCCCACCTGTAGGTTGTATCAGTTCCCAGATTTGCTGCTGCAAGCTCCTCTGTTGACATCCATGCTGGCAAGGTATTTCCAGAGACCCACTTAGTCCACTCGAACAGCCCAGGTTCCACCCGAAGTTTTATCTGGTTTTCCTGCTGAAGTCCTGTGAATAAATTGAAAATACAATGACACAGGACAAGGAATGATGAAGTGTTGTTTGTCAGACTGGAGCAGGAATCAAAATCAACTGAAAGTTCAGAGATATGCTTATTGATTAAACAGAGGTATAGTATATTAAAATACCCTTGGTACATTAAAATAAAACAAAGAACTGCGGATGCTGGAGACCTGAAACAAAAACAGAAAGTCCTGGAGAAATTGAAGCAGGTCTGGCAGCATCTGTAGAGAGAAACACAGTTCACATTGCAAGTCCAGTAATAACCCTTCATCAGAACTTCTGGACTTGAAACATTAACTCAGCTTTTCTCTCTAGGCAATTCCCTTAGTTTTCTATTAAAGGAGCCACTTCTTACAAGGATACATAAACCATGGGCTTGCAACTGTAAAACTTTATCAACATTATTTCTGAAGGTAATGAATCTTCCTGGGGTACAGTTCCTCACATACACCAGTTTCCGCAGGGGGACAGTTCCACACACACACTGACTCTCCCTGGGGTACAGTTCCATACACACATCAACCCTCCCTGGGGTACAGTT